GTACTGAATGAAGACGTCACTCTATCGAACGAAAAACATCGTTAGAATCCATATTGATGGCCGTTTTTTATTACAGTAGTTATCGTTGAAACCAAGGCAACCTTGTACTGGCAAACTTTGTAGGTGCAATCAAGCGTCACTGATTGCTTTCGCTTCAACCTCCGAGTCCCAATTAAAGATCCACCATCATCCAATCAATCAATCAATCAACCAATCATATTATTCGTGCACCCAGCCCAACCCCCTCCCACCCAAACACAATCAACCGACACCTTCTACACCAGCAACTGCAGCCGAATCGCTACACTATTGGTTATAATATGGGTTTCCCTCGAACCATTGTCCGCAATATCCTGACATGGTTCAGGAAGAAGCCGGCCACCCACAGGCCAGCTGTGCCGGCCACCCACAGGCCAGCTTTAGGGTGAGTGCCGCCGCTCGTACCCTGAGCGTCTGTAGCAGAGGGAAACGTTCATGAGCACAAGCTCGCGTAGTATGGATGGGGTCGTTTTGCTCTTCTCTGTGTGAAATAGGCGAGAAGGAAGATGTGTCATCATTTGCTAGACCGAGACAGAGTACAGCAGCAGTGGTCAAAAGCTAAGCATTTAGCGGCACTTATGAGAAGCACAAGCGTGCGGGCATGCATTCGTAAATTCGAAACATGGTACGTTTTTACAGACCAACGCGCTGTGTCGATACAGTCCCGAAAATCTTCTCATGGCAAAAATGACTTCAGCGGTTCGACGTGAATGTGCGAGTTGTCCATCTCTTTGATAAGTAGGTATTGAGACTTTAAACGTTGCTAACGATCCGCTTTCCGCGTCACGCTTGAACATTACATGCCCGCCGCGCCAGAGTTCACCACCGCCGGCCGGGTGCCTGCCTGATGCTCGAGGATGACTGCTCGTCCGACCTCGTCGACATGGTCCCCGTCTTGCCCTTGTCGTCGACCAACTCACCCAAAGGGAGCACTCCGGCGAAGTCTTCCCATCCCGCGACGTGGTTCGGATGCGGCGCCGCGATGATGTTTGTCGTCGCCTTGACCTTCATGGGCTGGCGGTGGGTATAGCTTTGCCTTGGGCGTTAGCACTTAGATCGAAAAAACATTGCCAAAGGGCACATGGAGTGTTTTTTTCAACGAATTCCGGCGTTCGGTAGCCCAGTGACACGGGGGACACCTGTCCTTGTGTATCACTCACTGCTGAAGCCGTCCCTCGTCTCCCTCCTTGCACAGTGGTGTGCGCTCGAGGAACAAGCGCGTTTCCGTGGAAGCTTCGGCTCGTCGCCGCCGACTCGACGAGAAAGAGGCCGAGAAAGAGGTGTGTTGTGTTGCGTGCGTGTCAGGATTTCCTCCCGCTGTGAGGGGGGCTCAGACCGCATGGGGGAGTTCGTACCGCGGGCTTCGTCTTGCAATTCCATACTCGTTGATGCAGCGAACGTTAAAGTGTCTTCTGCACCCCCAACCTTCCACGAATAATCCTCTGGTGATTGCCGCGTGTACGGCGCTCACCCATCCTTGACCCCGCCCACACCGTCGAAATCTCGGGTTGAACATTGATGTCATCAGGAGGCACAGGGGCTTGCCGGCGAAGACCTGCTCGCCCGACGTGTCCAGATGGGGCAGGTGGGAGTGGTGAATGTGTGTGAATGAGTGCAGGACCTCCCTATCGTTGATCCAGCGACTTCGGCTACATTTTCCAATGGTCGTGTTCAAAGCTTTTCGATGGTTCCCCATTCATCACGTATGTTGCTCATCCGTGTTGACGTTAACTTATCACCAGATCGAACACGACCGCGCGGCGGTCATAGCGCAGAAGGATGAGAGCATTCGACGTGGGCGGGCGGCGAACCAGCAACTGTCGGGGGAAGTTGCGACTCTTCGCCGCCGACTCGACGAGAAGGAGGCCGAGAAAGAGGTGTGTTGTGTTGTGTGCGTGTCAGGATTTCCTCCCGCTGTGAGGGGGGCTCAGACCGCATGGGGGAGTTCGTACCGCGGGCTTCGTCTTGGGATTCGATACTCGTCGGTACAGCTAAGATCGCAGTGTCTTCTGCACCCCCAACCTTCCACACATGATCCTCTAGTGATTGCTGCGTGTACGGCGCTCACCCATCCTTGGCCCCGCCCACACCGTCGAAATCTCGGGTTGAACATTGATGTCATCAGGAGGCACAGGGGCTTGCCGGCGAAGACCTGCTCGCCCGACGTGTCCAGATGCGGCAGGTGGGAGTGGTGAATGTGTGAGAATGAGTGCAGGACCTTGCTATCGTTGATCCAGCGACTTCGGCTACATTTTCCATATGGTCGTGTTCAAAGCTTTTCGATGGTTCCCCATTCATCACGTATGTTGCACATCCGTATGGACGTGCTCCTGTGACTTGTCGCCAGATCGAACACGACCGCGCGGCGGTCATAGCGCAGAAGGATGAGAGCATTCGACGTGGGCGGGCGGCGAACCAGCAACTGTCGGGGGAAGTTGCGACTCTTCGCCGCCTACTCGACGAGAAGGAGACCGAGAAAGAGGTGTGTTGTGTTGTGTGTGTGTCAGGATTTCCTCCCGCTGTGAGGGGGGCTCAGACCGCATGGGGGAGTTCGTACCGCGGGCTTCGTCTTGCAATTCGATACTCGTCGGTACAGCTAAGGTCGCAGTGTCTTCTGCACCCCCAACCTTCCACACATGATCCTCTAGTGATTGCTGCGTGTACGGCGCTCACCCATCCTTGACCCCGCCCACACCGTCGAAATCTCGGGTTGAACATTGATGTCATCAGGAGGCACAGGGGCTTGCCGGCGAAGACCTGCTCGCCCGACGTGTCCAGATGCGGCAGGTGGGAGTGGTGAATGTGTGAGAATGAGTGCAGGACCTTGCTATCGTTGATCCAGCGACTTCGGCTACATTTTCCAATGGTCGTGTTCAAAGCTTTTCGATGGTTCCCCATTCATCACGTATGTTGCACATCCGTATGGACGTGCTCCTGTGACTTGTCGCCAGATCGAACACGACCGCGCGGCGGTCATAGCGCAGAAGGATGAGAGCATTCGACGTGGGCGGGCGGCGAACCAGCAACTGTCGGGGGAAGTTGCGACTCTTCGCCGCCTACTCGACGAGAAGGAGGCCGAGAAAGAGGTGTGTTGTGTTGTGTGCGTGTCAGGATCTCCTCCCGCTGTGAGGGGGGCTCGGACCGCATGGGGGAGTTCGTACCGCGGGCTTCGTCTTGCAATTCCATACTCGTCGGTGTAGCTGAGGTCAAAGTGCCTTCTGCACCCCCAACCTTCCACGCGTCATCCTCTAGTGATTGCTGCGTGTACGGCGCTCACCCATCCTTGACCCCGCCCACACCGTCGAAATCTCGGGTTGAACATTGATGTCATCAGGAGGCACAGGGGCTTGCGGGCGACGACCTGCTCGCCCGACGTGTCCAAATTCGGCAGACGGGAGTGGTGAATGTGTGTGAATGAGTGCAGGACCTGGCTATCGTTGATCCAGCGACTTCGGCTACATTTTCCAATGTTCGTGTTCAAAGCTTTTCGATCGGTAGGTTCCAATTCATCACGTATGTTGCACATCCGTATGGATGTGCTCCTGTAACGTTCCGCCAGATCGAACATGACGCCGCGGCGGTCATAGCCCAGAACTACGAGGTCATTCGACGTGGGCGGGCGGCGAACCAGCAACTGTCGGGGGAAGTTGCGACTCTTCGCCGCCTACTCGACGAGAAAGAGGCCGAGAAAGAGGTGTGTTGTGTTGTGTGCGTGTCAGGATCTCCTCCCGCTGTGAGGGGGGCTCAGACCGCATGGGGGAGTTCGTACCGCGGGCGTCGTCTTGGGATTCCATACTCGTCGATACAGCTAAGGTCAAAGTGTCTTCTGCACCCCCAACCTTCCACGCGTCATCCTCTAGTGGTTGCTGCGTGTACGGCGCTCACCCATCCTTGACCCCGCCCACACCGTCGAAATCTCGGGTTGAACATTGATGTCATCAGGAGGCACATGGGCTTGCCGGCGACGACCTGCTCGCCCGACGTGCCCAAATTCGGCAGACGGGAGTGGTGAATGTGTGTGAATGAGTGCAGGACCTGGCTATCGTTGATCCAGCGAATTCGGCTACATTTTCCAATGTTCGTGTTCAAAGCTTTTCGATCGGTCCGCTCCCATTCATCACGTACGTTGCACATCCGGATGGACGC